GGGCGGCGCAGCTGCGGGACGAGGTGGGTACGGCCGCACCGCGGGCTCGCACACGCTCACACGCCCGGCCCGGTGCGAACAAACCTCTCCGTGTCTCTCCCCAGATGTGCGAGAAGTTTACCGTCTGCCAGAACAGCATGGAAATGCTCCTCCACAACAACCTCAACCTCCCCAAGGTGACGGAGGAAGATGGGTGTCTGCTCGCCGGCTTTAATGAGGCAAGGAACCGCGCTCCTTTCTGGTTTAATCCTGTATACCTGGGGCAGGTTTTGCCCGCCCAAAAGAACTGTGGAAGTTGACCTAAAGATTTGTGTCGGCTCTAGCCGGACCTCCACACTCTATAAGCATCGTCTGCTAACCTGCACACAGCACTGATATCAAGGCATTTTGAACTCTTAAGTGACTTTCTCACCTTTCTCTCATTTCAGGATAAATGCTTGAGAAAAATCTCCAGTGGTCTTTATACATTTCAGACATACCTCAAATACATACAAGAAACTTTTATTAGTGAAAACCAAAATGTTGAATCGCTATCCTATACTACAGAGCACCTGGCACGTACCCTAAGACAGATGGTGAGTTGGTTTTAAATTCACTCTGATAATTTTGGTGAATATAATACTTAATACTGATGTGAAGTCAGTAATAGAGGATGCTATGTGAAACAAAGGATGCTGTGTTTCAGTTCCTTGAAAAAACAGGTGATGGTTCCTTATGCTCAGATCTTACCCTTATGACTTAAGAGGTTTTACAAAGTTTTACTTTCCTTTCTTAAAGAAACAACTCTTCCTCCTACTTTATATTGTTACTTATAATTTCAAAACCAACTAAATGCTTCATTGTTTTAAGAACAAACATATTAAACTGGATGATAGAAATAGGATTTTTCAAAGAGCTTGCTTCTAATTGTGGAACTGTAATTCAGCCCATGCCAATGTTGGAACCCATTGAGAAGTAGAAGTCAGCAACTTTTCTTAAAAGCCCATATTAAAAAGAAAAAGCCAAGCGTATTTTTACAATATTATTTATCTTTAAAATTCTCCAAACCAAACTTTTAAGCTATGGTTATTATGGCAAATTAACATTGTATGGTATATTGAGATATTGCTGTCAATATACCTACTGAAAAACACATATTTTGCTTGTAAAAAATCTTTCACGTTTTGGAGAGCTTTGAAAAAGATCACACTTCAAAAAACTCAATTCCTGTAGTTCTTGCTCATTTTAATAATCCTTAATACAAATACTTCCTTTTGTCTTTGGGGAAACCATTTGCCTGATTAAAAATCACCCAGGTAAGGACTGCAGAAGTCTTGGGGCATTATTTCCTTCCAGGCAATTTTCAGTATGTGAAAAGCCTATTGTGCATTGTGTGTTTGCCATACTTTTCCTAACTTATTTACTTATGCCCATCATTCTTTATGTGAAAGGAAGCTGAACTGCTTTTTTTTCACACTGTGCTAGCTGAGAATAATAGTCCTGTCATAAGACAGCAACTGAGTACTGGCTTCCAGCTTGATACACAAGTTTGCAGAAAGTTTGCTTCATAACTGAGAGAGACTGGATTCTTTGGGTTGGGTTTGGGGCTTTAGATTTTACTTTTTTTTTTTTTTTTTTGACCAAGGTAATTAAAACAGGCAGAATTAAACACAGTGATCAAAAGCAAAATCTGCACTTGTAGAAACTATGGAGTTTTTGAGAAAAAGCCTTGATCTTCAGGTTGGAAGTTTTTCTTTGAGAGAGAAAAATCTGCTATTTAAGGCAAAGCCAGAATCTATCACTTGTGGTTAAATAGATCCACCAGCATGATACCTGTCTAGATATCCAGATACAGACTCTACCACAGCACAACAAGGAACTGGGCATACCAGGAAAAGGGGCTGTGATCAGAACAGTCTCCCAAGTAGCCTGGCTAGGAAGAATATTTCTCTCTTACATTTCACAAAAAAAAGATGTTCCACAAGGTTTGCATCTTTTGTCACTAGTTAAAGGGTAGGAGAGGTCCTAAACACAGGATTAAGCAGATGCCTGCTAGAACTTTGGACTCCAAATGACCTAAAACAGCTCCATGATTTGAATGTATAGCTCCCATTTTCAGAAGTCCCACTTCCTGGGACAAGTTCTTCAAAGGCTTTTAGGTACTGGGTGCATAGGGATGTGAGTCAGCATTAGATAAATAACTTTTACTCATCTTATAGTTATGCTCTCACATATCAGTGAAAGTTGGTGGCACTTAATTTCACATGTGACTAAATGCCTGGAAAGTAAGAATTAAGCAGCTAAACAAGTTTGACATCTTTGGAAACTTGTTAATCTGCTACAAAATGTGAGAGAATGTCAGCCAATTAACTTATGACTCAGGATGGAGCAGGACAGGTTAGGACAAACCATGATCAGCTCCTCCCTACCTAACCAGCCACGTGATTGCCAGAGCAGGAGGGGTGTATTGATCTGCTCAGAGCATGTTGGACCTCGATACCAGAGGCTGCATCCAAACCAGAACAAACAGTATAGCCCAGAGATTCCTACACAGCAATCATAGCAGGCATCAGCGTTCCTCACACCTCTCCACAGAAACAGGGCTGGAGGAAAGCACAGGTGCCGGGGCGGGCTGCTGTCTGCAGTACAGCAAGAGTGGATATGCAGCAGGTTGGGAACATACAAACTGATGCTCTCCAACAGGCTCAGTGAGTGTTTTAACCAAGGCCCTCCCAATATTGTCTTTTTCACAGGTGATCAATCCCGAAGAAGTGATCATCCCAGATGCAGCTACCCAGGAATCCCTCCACACAAAGCTGAAGTCCATTAAGTCCTGGACAGAGAAAATCACCATCCATCTCATCCTCCGAGATTTTACTTCATTTATGGAGAAGACAGTGAGGGCTGTGCGCTATTTGAAAAACACCAGGAGTTTCAGTGTTTGAATGTTTTAGTTCAGGCACAATCCTTTTGTTACAAATCTGTCAGGTGGCAGATAACAGTGTTGTTCTGTTTTAAGAACTAGAAATAGTAACAATGGTTTGCATCTACATACATTCCCACTTCCTTCTAGGAACTTATTTATTGTATTTAAAATATTTATTAGTTTCTAATATTTCTTATTTATATTTTCAATATTTAGAAATAATTTAAATTATGTATTTTATTTCCTTTCTAATGGTACTATTCAGATACACTTATTTAATATGTATTCATAAAAAAAAAAATTCAGAACCCAGAAAAATTGTTGTATAACTTATGTTTTTATATATTTAAGAGACGGTATTTATGACCTTTTTATATTTTTTAGGACAAATAAAAGCAAATTTCTAAAAAAAGCTTGTATAATCTCTGTGAACTTTAAATAAGACTAAAGCACTCTAATATATCCAGGTTTTAATACCTGTAATTATCAGAATAACCACTGTCAAGAACTTCTCTGCATAATTAGGCCAATTCTCTACATAGCACATATGTACACACGTACAGACAATTTGGTTACCATATAAGTCTTAAAATGGGATATGAAGGAACCAGATTGCACTAAAAACGGCACTTAAGAATGAACAAGATAAACCATCAATGATCCTGAGAAACAAATGGACAAGTACTTTATAGTTAATAAGGAGCACCCAATAAAATTGTTTGTAAGGATCTTTTTACAAGTCAAATAGTCTCTCTTAAACAAATAAAGTGGTGAGACAACCACATTAACCACTTTGACATGAATACTCTCCTCTGATTCGTTTTATTGCTGTCATCCAGGGGAATTTTCCAAGTGTGGTAAAACATTTCTGGCCCCTACCCCAAGAAGTAGAAAAAAAAATTCAGGTTATTTCCTTAAGCAATATAAATCAACACATTGCTTCTGAGCAATGCAGCAACATGCATTTGTCTTTTATAATTTATATTTCACTAGTATGGACAAGCCACATACCATGAATGCATATTCTTGAATACTTGTGTGGAAAAAGAACAACCAAACCAAACAGAACAGGACTTAAGCCTGAGTACCAAACCACTGAAACTTTCCTAGGCTGCATCATCTGCAGCACTGTAGCTGTGCAGGTACCTCATATACCCAAACTCAGAGGAATTCACCGACCATACAGGGGGATGCAGGCAGCAGAAGTCCCTCAGGCTTTGTCCCTAAAAATGGCAGATTATCAACTACCCTCACTTTTCCTTCTGGCACAGCAGTGAAGATGTACATGCCTTGGAATGTGGATAAGGATGTCAGCAAACTCTCCTCTTCCTCTGAGTGATCTGGTCGTCCACATATGCATTCCACCACTGGGGATGCCAAAACAGTGACCAGTCCACCCACTGCTCACATCTCAGATGCTCAAAACAAAACCTAACCACTCCTTTGCCCAATATGGTAAAACTGTCATCTCAAGTTGAGCAACATCTGGAGAAGGAATGAGGAGATCTCAAGGAGATCTTTAAAGATGTCTGTGGTAAATGGGTTTTCTAGCAGCATGTAAGATCCTACTTTAACTAACTGTCCTGGCACACGCTCCAGGAAACATAGGAAAGCCTGGCTTAACCTTTTCACTGCTTACATTCACAGGGATTTTCTTTTAGTGACCATTTGTTTAGAGACCTTTCTGGCCTTTATTATGCCAATCATGGCTATAAGACCCAAAGTGGATCCCACACTGGACCTATCTACTATGTGAGAATAGAGAGGGGGGAAAAAAAAAAACTAACAAAAAAACCCAAACCCAACTAAAAGGAAAGGCATCTCCTGGTTTCACTTCTCTGAGTAGATTGGCTGCCTGAGGTCACCATTAGTTACTATGTACACTGCATCTAAGCAAACTCACACTGATCTCCTGAAACACCAAAAATTGTCTAAGAATTGGAGTGCTGAAATCCCTTGCAACTGATAGACAAGCACCAACACTTCCACCACCACCCTTCAGCTGATGCTTACCCCAGGCTGTCTGCAATTCTAGTAAATATGTAAATGCTGCCACATTTAGGGTGCAGAAGATGGGCAAAAATCAGCCTTGTTGGGTGGGGAGGTCAACTTTCAAGTCCTTCCTGGAGCAAAGTGTTATCCCTGATGGTGCCACTGAGCTGCCATAATTTCACCCTCCACAGTTTTCAGGGTCCTTCAATGCAACAGCTGCCCTGCTGGCCATCAGTCTCCTATCACAGTGGCAACTTTAGGGACTGCTCTTAGGATCAGCACCACTTGCTGAAACCAACACTCAACTGGTGTTTCTGGCACACAAATATTTGTAGTGGAGAATTCAGATGAAATCAGAGAAGACCTAAATACTGCTGAGCATGTTACCTGGCCTCTTAAATGAACCAACTTATCATCCTTTTTCCAGTTTGCTGTGTAGAAACTATTTTACTTCAGTAAACACACAAAGGCATTTATTTTGTGTGGCAGGCCAGCACAAACATATAAAAAACTTATAACAATAGTAAAAGTGAGCAGTCCTAACTACACTCAGCAACACTGCCTCAACATTTCTATTGAAAAGAGCTCTTCCTAACTGAAAGCCAACTCACTGAGCAAAGAAAACTCAAAAAAACAACACAACAACAACAATAAAAACCCCACTAACACAATCCAAATAAAAGAAGACTTCCTAAAAATTACCTACAAAAATAGGAAATTACCCACCACAGCATCATTTTGGCCACTGCTGTCCAGGACCAGCCTTGTCCTGCACATCCCAACTAGCCCTTCCCCTCATTTCCATTCATCCTCAGTCATTAACCTCACACAGATTCTGGAATGCTTCACAGATTACCAGTTCCCTTCATCCTGATTCTGAATTCCCAAAGAAGGAAGAAGGTAAAGCTATGTTGAAAAGCATGCATACATTATACAGTATGCAAGGAAAGCCCACGGTATTCAGAAACAGTTTAGGATGAGAAACAAAATATCCCTAAAACCAGCTCCCCTAACACCAGAATGCTCAACATGAGAAAAAACAAAAAAATCAAAACAACTCCACAAATACCAAAAAGACAATCCAACCTAATATTAAAGGCATCTGTAATCGAAGAGTGGGGACTGGGGGATAAGAGATAGTCTCTGAAGTACCATTTCTCTATTTTGTTATACTGAAAAAAATTTCTAAGGAAAAAAAAAAGAAAAAGTGGTAAACATTTCAGCCTGACCGACTTCCCAGACTGCAGTGCCATTCCCTACCTGGTACTGGTGTAAACACTATATTTTGGCAGAGATAACAACTACTTAAATGAGGCTACATTCATCTCTACTGTCTCCACAGATTTTATTAACAGCTGATGGTGAGATTAGCAAAACCAAGCTGATGCTACAAGAGATGGAAGAGTTACACCACCAGTAAAGCATGGCAGCAGCATCACTTTCAGCAGTAACAAGCCATTAGGTTGGCTCTGCTTGATGGGAAACTTCCCCCTATGTTTGCCATTGTTATTTGTACCTTACAACATTTTCCAATTTCAATTTAAAAGATAAAATGATGGAAAGGTAAGTATGCAGCAGTATACATCAAAGTCCTCAGGGTCAGGGTACTGTCAAAAAAAAAGGATAAACCTTGTGACTAAGTCATTGCTTTTCAAGTAAAATGGTTAGATAACAATTTTTGATCTCAGTGAATTTCCTTCCCCTTCTTGATAAGGGAAAAACCAAGACCCACCTACCCCCTTGCCCCCAAGAAATGTAACTGCTGCAGTCTTCAGTCTTGAAGTACTACTTTTTCCATGAATTACTAGCAAAATCAACCAATTTCTGTAATCTAAACATATTTAACCAAATCCTCCTATATTTTCAAGACTGACTTTTGCAGTCATCAGAAAACACTCAACAGAAATTTTGCAATCTGGATTTCTATTCAGTGACCAGAATCGAAGATTCAATCTTTCCTGAGGAAACATTTTAAAAAAATAAACATTCACCATCAAAATCAAAACACTGAGATTTGATTTGCCCCACAATATTCCTTTCCACACAACAGGTATACATTTAATCTAACCCATCCTCCAATCCTGAATTAACATAAGCACAACCAAGAAACAATGTATGTAACCCGCAAGCTTAACCAAGAAATTGCTACTGCATCACACACCATTATGGAAAAGTATTTAGAAATTGCAATTAAGATGTTATTTGTGAAAAGTAGTTAGTCATATGACATTTAACAGGATGTGGTCTCTCCTCCTGTGGTGAAAACAGATGTAATGAGCTTTAATTTCCAAATATCATCCGTATCATCATAGCTTAGATTCCAAGCCCGTAACAAAGTATTTCCAAAAATATCCAGGGTATATACAGTTTGATTTAACAATTTTCCTGATAAAAACCATTATATTAGATGTCTCTTTCATGTACCACACAATGCAAGAAGATGATATAGTAAGTAGCTCTTTGTCACCTACAGCCATTTTGGAAGACAGCCACACAAAGCAACAAAATATATATATATTATACTTCACCAAAATGGGCCTATTGTAACAAAATTCTGAACATGGATTTGGTCTGCACAGTTTATGTGTTTAAATGTTATGGTTCAACTAATAGGAGCTTTGCTGATTAATTCATTCAAGGGAAAAAAAAAAAAATCACAGTATCTCTGTTTTATAACTGTGATTCAACACACTACAGTTACTTTGTACCAGTGGTGCCTACACTGGGAATTTGTAGCAGAATTAAAAACCTCTTACAAATTCCTGATCACTTTAATTTGGCTTCGCAACTGGCCAGGCCTTGAAGAGTTTATGGAGCTCACAGATAGGTTTCTTCGTAGATTAAATTATTAAGAAAAAAATTATACTGAAAGCCAGATTTTTTTTTTTTTCCCTTTAGCAATGACACTAAACTGATCATTCTTTTCCTAGCCTGCTACCAGGAGATACACAGCCCATACATCAAGACCAAGAAAACCACCAAACTCACAAGACTACCTCTCTATCCCTTGCACAACTGCTTGTCACCAGGTACAACAGGCTCCAGTGACAGGTAGCATTTCCCTGACACTGAGGCAACCACAAGCACCACTCCACCTTCCTCTGCTTTGATGGCACAAAGTAAAAAGCAAAATAATCCCTATCTCCATGCTGAGATCAGTGGGATACCTCAAAGTCAGTACAATCTCCACCGAACACAGGAAGCATCAATTATTTTATTTCACACATCCACATTGCAGCCTTGAGCTCAGCTGTGGTAGCCAGAGCCCATTTTTCAGTAAACTGTGCTCACTGGCTTTATTCTGACACTAAGAGTTCACAGGACTCCATCACAAACCCCATCACAGAAAATAATCTGCTCTTGGCTGTGGAAGGCATTCATTCAGTGACAGAGATCAATACAGTCAAGCAGGAAAACTCATTTTTGTTCTTTTTTAAGTGTCTCCCATGTGACTGTGTGACAGTAAAACAAAATTTTCTCAAGTTCTACTGGAAGAAAAATGGAAAGGAAAAAATCATAGATTAAAGCACTTGAAATTATTAATACCTAATTCAAGCCCCAGCCTCGACCAATATGAGAGCTCTTCCACCTCACTCCACAGACCTGTCCTCTTCTCCCTGGCACCACCAAAAATACCCCAGGTCTTGCTAAAACTTGCTAAAATTATTTCCTGACCTTATTTAAGGGAATTAAGATTCTTCAAAGGAATCTGTTTAATGTATAACTTCCCTAACCACTGATCCGCTTCTCAGAGGCACATCCAAATTTTGTGAAAATGATAGAAAAACTGCAAAGTAGCTTCAAAACATCCAAACCAAAGATTTCTTCATCTTTATACCTGAAGAAAAATATCTCCCTTTTTTTTTTTTGCTACCTTACAATTAATTACCAAGATTTAATGATTCATACCTATTCTTTTTTTTTTTTTTTTCCACCAGGGAAAAATATAAATGTTTATTTAAGGAGAATTTTCACTCACATTTTAATTACAGGAAGAGCACTATATGGAATGAAAGTTGGGACATATAAACAAAAAACATTATACTACATACTGGCATTTAATTTAACCTGATTTGAAGGTACTATAAGAGACTTCTTTCTCCTCAATTTGAAAACCCAAGAGTTCTATGCTAATGACTTTCCTGAAACATACTACAGTAGCAGTGAATTACCAAAAATTTCCTATCCAAAGTGCTTAAAGTAAGAATTGCATAAGCAATATTTATCCATTGATTCCAAGTTGCAAAAAACCTGAAATGCAACTATTTTCATGATGAACTTCCAGCATAGAGACGTCACAGAATCTGGCCTGTGCTTGACATATGCATGCTTTTGTAAAACTTTTAATGAAAGAGGAAACACTTCCCTATTTCTCTACCTCTTGCAAAATATTATCTTTCTTGGAAAGCAGCCAGAGGAACCATGTGGTGGTTACGACCCACAAACCACATCCCCAAATGTGAGACATACAACAGAGCACATGAAATACACTTCTGCAGGTGTTTGTGTCCTTCCACCCACTGCTGCATTCTGGGTATTGTACACCCGTGTGAAATGCAAAATCTGATTGAGAAAGATGAGTTATTTCACACCAAATACTGTATCTCTTAGTATTGAATATCTCATGTTACTGCATGGAACTCAACTGTTCCTATCATGATTAAAGCCACCACCACATACCAACAGATTATTTCATTATTATTATCATTAGGATCAGTCAAGAAAAATAATCAAAAAATTAATTTCTTTCATAATTTAAGACATATGAGCAGTTACATTAATCTCAAGTTACTGTAAGAGAAAAGGCACTAGAAAGGCTGCACTAGCAAAAGGATATACGGTCACAAGAAACTGTTCTGCATCCAGTCCTTGCTCTGTTCCACTGTCAGCAGTCTATTAGCATTAGTCATGCCAGTATTTCAAGGCATTTGACTGACTTATAGTGATTAATGGAATTTTAAAGAACATGCTGATTTGTATTAGCTCTCATAAAAGTTTTCACTTTTTTCTATCCAATTCTTGCCTTTCAATTTAAGTTTTTTCCCTCGGCTCATTTCTCTCTCTTTTTCCAATCACAGCCCTTAAACACAGTAATGTTTTACCATGAATTGTCATGGCAGACGAAAAACTGAGCAATCTCCTATTCTTAAACATATAATGTAAAAACTGCCTGAAAATCTGTGGAATTAAAGAAAAAAAGCCATGCCAGAATCCAGAATACCTTTGTTGCAATGATGATTTGGGGCCAATAAACATTATTTTTTAAAAATCACCACAGAGATACAAACTACCCTGCACAGTTCTGGAAAGGAGAGAGCAATTTACCCAGAACAGCTTCTATTTAACAGAAACCAGTCACCATTTTGGCACTTGAACTTCAGTGTTAAAAAGGAAAAAATCTATTGAGACCAAAACAACCATGGTCCAAAGAGCAAGACTCCAGCATAACAATGAAGCACATACCTTATTTAGTGTACTTATTTTCTTCCTTCAGTTATACATTAGTAACTTTCTCTTACACTAAGAGCAATTTATACAGATATACACAGAGCACTCAACTGTTCTGTCTTCCCACCCCATCCTGAATCCCAGAAAATACAGATGGCATTTATAGGTAAGTTTAGCAAAAAAAGATTTTTTTTAATATCTGACTGTGCTAGAAAACACAAATATACACATCCCTCAATCCTTACTGTATCCACAGATAAAATAATCCAGAAGGAGATAAAAAACCCAAAGTGGATCAGCACAGTAACCAGCCACACAGGCTTACCAATATTTGGGCAAGGAACCTTTGAAGAATACTGGAGCTAATTTAAAACATTAGCTCAATTTTCTGGTTACTGTAAAGATAAAGAGGAATCTTTACCCAAAAGGCAATCATTATCAAGGATAAGTATAGGCGTTAAATATCACTGTATTTTGGAAAAAAACACAACAAAAGAAAACCTCCACCATGGGCTTCTGTAACAAATAAACTACTACATTATATTATGTAAAGACTTAAAACCAATGTGTATCCATTCAAACAGTATTTATTTAATTACACCGTAATGCAAATAAGTTAGGTCCATATAAATGTCATTTTGTTGTATGTACAACCTATGCCATTAGCAAGCTGTTTGATCCAGCTGGTCTAAGTGTCGGCCTCATCCTCTGGAATGTACGTATCTTCTGACACTGTCCATCGGCTGCATCTACAACAGGACCAGCACAGCCTTCAGCCCCAAAGTAAACTGAAAGGGGAGGGGGAGGAAATGAAAGTCAGATTTGCAGCACATACTTGTCCCGGAGGAACGGCCCTAAAAATGTACAGAATAAACACTAGCCCCAAAAATACTGAAATAATGCCACCTTTAAAGTAAAATTTAAGCCTACAGAGCATCAACACATGCTCTCAAAAATGAGCATCTGTAAGCTTCAGATTAGACCAAACATCTGTTTGTAGTATCCACATAGATATATTCTGGTACAAAAAACATCATGCACACCAAAAAAAAAAGAAGTCTCAAACCACCAGCGAAGTTAAACATAGAAACACTGTCAGCAAGAAAACAGCTGCCGGAACTTGGTTATTAAGACAACAGAAGATTCCACTGAAATTGTAACATGATCTTACTACTTTTTTTCCCATATCTTCTACCCTTTCTCCTGAATCACTCAATCCTAAAAATGGGATTTCTAGACAATGTAACTATGTGAAGCCAGAAGAGTTAATCTTTAACTTTGCAAACAACACAGTCCATCAATTATTTGTTTTAGGAATACCTGGTCCTGCCCAGTAATCAAAAGCATTTCTTGAAAAACAGAACCACCCTTTCTCCAAAACTTTAATTAGTTAGACCCAAGGAAGCCCTTCAATAAAACTTAAATGTCACTAGAACTTAAGCATTATTAATGCCATAACACTGCTGCATAACAAAGAGTCCCACAAGAAAGAGGCAATATGAGCCTAATGTACTTTGCCTCATGACAGTGACTAATACTGAAGGATACCGCCCATTATTTCATGCACCTTTTATGCCGTGTTATTCCCTCATTTGCAAAGGCAGAAGGAGATTGAGTTTTGGTTTCAAGTTGTGCTAGAAATCTGAGAAGTTAGTCTTCAGTGCAGAAACTTGCACAAACTAGCTCTACAAGAGATTAGAAGGGCAGCTGTAACACAAAAGACACAGGAAGTTCCATATCTTAAAAACTATGCAAAATTAAGGTCTTCCCAAGAACTAGAACTTTGCTGACTTGTCATTTGAATTTCCAAAGAAACAAGAACCACAACAATTAAAAACAAGGGATGGGAGCATCCTTCACAACTGTTGCTGGCCAGAGATAACACCCAAATCAGTAACTATCTGCACTGAGTTTGTATGTACATTTGGAACCAATACATACCTCCAGATAGTTGGTTCAGGCATTCCAGGATCTGCACCTCTTTTAAAACCTGAAGTGAAACACACATTAATACATACATAAAAATAAACAAGTATGTGCAGATTTGTACATAATTAAATCTTTATCAAATTATTCCAGCCCATTAAATAACAATAAAAAAAACCCTACTGAACAGAGAATTGTGATTAATGAAGCTGTGCACTAACCTGAATAAAAAGTGCATATTCTTATGAGGGATAGAAAGCAAAGAAAATAAATACTAGTGTAGACTTTTCTTTTTTTCAAGAGTCTTATCTGCATCTTTACCTGACTTAAAATTCAGGGTCAACTGACTGCATGAGATGAAGGAAGTCATCTATCCCAGAGATCAAGACATACATACTTTTACACACACAAACCCACAGGTTTTAAATGCTGTTCAGAAAGCAACCTAGTAGGCCTCTACCAACAAAGGCACCTAAAACTGGTGTAGAGTGAGCACCTTGAGACCTAACAGCCAATTTTCCAATGATATCTAACACACAACTTAAAAGTAGTTTTTTAGTAACAGTTCATTCCATTTAGCATGACAGAATGCTAAATGTTTAGTCAATTAAACCTCAAATCTTCTATTCTGATTGGCACTTTTAGGAAAAAGCTACATAATACTAAAGCTTGCAAAGAAACAAGTTATTTTCTAATACCCAGGAAAATTAAATGAAAGTTAACTACAAAGAGTTCATCCCCAGTCTCAAGTATACCAACTGACTAAAGTATATGTATGCTACGGAAGCAACTGAAGGTTTAGCATATGAAGTATCTTTGCTCTCTGGACTGTAAAATGAAAGTCTTGAAACATAATTGTGCAATTCAGGGACTGTTCAACACTACACTGGCTATCTAGAAGTGAATGTTTCACAGAAAATGTATTCTTTCCCTCGTTTACAGAAAATAAATAACTAATGTCATGTTGCCTGAAACACAGGCCACAAAGGTTAATGGAAAAAGTTCCATTAACTTCACAGGCACTGGAAAAGCTCTTTGAAGACAACCTTGAATGATTTGAGACTATTAGACATCCTGACCCAAGTTCTTTGGCTGCCATACTGTCCAGCAACACAGCTTAAAAATTCATGAACTTCAGTCACACCGTGTGTGAATGTTTCTGGCTCCTCCCCTCACCCCCAGTATTTTTAAATAAGAAAACCAGATAAATTTATAAGGCTATACAGAAGTGGTACAGCCCACTTATTTTGTGGAAATATGAACCTAAACTACAACTTAAATTTCTCACTGCTACATAACAAAAATATACTAGTGTATAAAAAAATATACCCTGGTGTTAGTGCAACTGTAAATACAGTAAGGTGGCTTTATACAATTTGAAGTAACTTACTGAATGTCACTAATGTAACTTATTAGTGTCAGTAATGTGACACTCAGATATCACTAAGAAAAAAGAGCATTTTTCCCACATTCACAGATACTGTCATGGAACTAAATCAAAACAAAACTTCAACAAATTACGTCACAAAACTCTACTGAAATTCCCACCCAAAACTTATTAATTTAAAACCATTGCTAAACTAAAAATGGAAATGCAATTAAAGTTCAGACCTAAAAATGATAATTAGTTTTTCCATAGCTTTTGAAGTGACTTCTTTTGCTTGTAGTTGATGTTAAAGCACTTCTGTAACAGCTGAAGAGACCAACATTTCCCTGGTTGTTATCTATAAACAGTCAAAGCCCTTCAAACCAGGCACTGCATTCCCTTCAATTAATCAAAACAACCTCTCAGATTTGACTGGAAGCACATTAAGCTCCCAGCCCTCTTTCATGTTTGCATTCAATGCAAAGATGTCTGCCTGATTTAGCTGCTTTTCCCAAAAAGCCCAACAGTTTGGGCAGAAAGTAAGCCAAATGAATTGCAGAGATCAGCCTTCCTGGACCCCAAAAGAAGTGAAGAAACGTGTCAGGCCTGTGGCACATGTGCCTGTGCTAAGTGGGTCAAGCTCTTTAACAAGGACAGCTGGTGGCATACAACTCTAACTCAGCAGGAGAACTACCATGTGGTAGTAATGCCTGGCCAGCCCGATGACGGGAGCAAGCAAAATATATCCTGGGCACCAGGCACAACATCAAGGCATCCCCTTAACATTCCACTGCAGCTTGGAAATAGGAGCCACACCATTTTGGGTGGGAGAGAGACTGCAACCTGTATTCCTGTTGCAGGAAATTCAACCTCAGCCAGAGGCTGGCAATGCCCTCAGTAGTTCAATGCCATGAAGATGTGCTCCCAGCGTTCACCTCACCACAGACTCCCTAGAGCACAAAGCACAGCCTTGACTACTACAGCAGGCAGTCACTGACACAGGGTTAAATCACAGCCCCATGTGCTGTTTGGCAGCTTTGGTGCTCTGCCCATTCCCCAGAGGGGCCCTCACACAGGATTGGCCTCCAGGGAAGAAAAGGGGCAAAAAAAAAATTATCCTTACAGAATTGTTAGGTTAGAAGGGACCTCGGGAGATCCCCTAGTCCAACCCCCAGCCAAGGCAGGGTCACCTTGCGCAGGTGACACAGGAACGAGTCCAACTGGGTTTTGAATGTCTCCAGAGGGGGAGACCCCATGACCTCCCTGGGCAGCCTGTTCCAGTGCTCTGCCATCCTCAACACGAAGAATTTCTTCCTCACGTTGAGGTGGAACTTCTTGTGTTTTAGTTCACGGCCTTTGCTCGCCGTACTGTAGGTGGACACCGCTAAAGAGTCTGATTCCAATCTCTTGGAATTTGTCTTTGAGATACTTCTATGCTTTAAGGAGATCTCCTCCCAGTCTTCTCTTCTCTGGACTAAACCGGCCCAGCACCTGCAATCTCTCCTCATAAGAGAGATGCTCCAATTCCTTAATCACCTTCGTGGCCCTGTGCTGGATCCTCTCCAGCAGCTCCTCGTCTTTCCTGCACTGAGGAGCCCAGAACTCGACACAGCACTCCAGATGTGGCCTCACTAAGGCCGAGTAGATTGGGAAGATCATACTTCTTCTTTACAAAGAAGGGGGTGGAAAAAACCAAACAAAACCCATACAAACAAACAAAAAACCCAACTATAACAAAAATCCCCGTCCCACAGTTCGGCCAAGGGCAACCCCGCCCTCCCCTGCGCACATGCGCGGCGATGGCCGCGGGCGGCGGGGGGAGAGCGGCGGGGCGGCCCTGGG